GCACATGTTGAAAAAAGAAAAAGTAGCTTTTGTATGGAAGAGCAACGAAAGTTTAGAGAAACTAAGAAATTCTTTTGTTAACGGAAATAATAAAATTTTCGAAATGGTCTTGTTAAATTTACTACAAATTTCTCAATTTGTGTTATTTGCCAGTCCCTTACAGCAGCTCCCACAATTTCTAACTGATTTAAGACAATAAGTTCATACAGTTTCTTAGTGAAAGAGAAGTTAAAATAATATACCTACATAAATAAAATAATATCAACCTATAAATACGCCAAAAAATGTTTTAACTACAATTTCACCAAAAATCCAAGATACACAATAATCTTTGGTTATTCTTTTGTCAAATTTTCGACTTTGATGCGCAAACTCTAGTGCAATTCCCATTCGAAAACACAATTTCCAATGCTCGTAAGCAGGGGAATATTTTCCCATGCTTCTCATTGGAAATTATTCCACCGCTTATGTCGAGAATACGAAAACTGAATTCCCATGGGAAAATTTTATTTTCCCATGGGAATAAAAGTCGAGAATCGACCCCCAGGGGAGTACAACTGACATAACCAGTGAATCGATGAACTTTACGAAGAATACCGAGAGGACGCGAAGTGAGATTTCGGGTGAGATCAAGAGGAAGATCGATGGAAAAAGGGTTTTTGGTTTGGTGGTGGTTTTAATTTTAAATAATAATTATTTTAAATTAGGTACTTAAGCGTTCCCTATTTTTACAATTTCTATATCGATGGAAGTTCTGGGTAAAATATTTTACCGATTTTTATGTAATTGTTTTAGCCTTGATTATATTATTGTCCTACTCTTCACACAATATCCTTTAAAGCGTATTATAGGTTTGCTTTGTCCGTCTGTCCGATGTCATGTTTTTGTCTGCATGATAACTCAAAAACGAAAAATGATATCAACTTGAAATTTTTAGCAAACATCAAGCAAAAAAATTAAATTGAAGTGGGGGAGTTAAGAGGGTTAAAATATTTAAAATAAATCTTAAAAACGAATAATAATAACATGAAATTTTTGGAAAAATCGAGCTCTACAAGGGAATGAAGCCTATTGACTCTGAAACAAATCTGATTGAAAATTGGGGTTAAGGGGTCTAAAAAAATGTGAAAAGTATAATTTAGAATGCTTCGCATTATATGTTTTTATTCTAGTTTGTATCTGTCTAATATTATGTATTGTGATGGGACTGATCTTATAAAATAAACATTTTAGTTCACTTGTTTTATTTGCCAATAAGAAGTATTTAAAAAATATATTCTTTTATTTGACATGTGTGTCAAATTGTGAAAATGATTTAATTTACAATAAAAACTGAAAAATGGTAGGTAGCGTTTCATATAATATTATTTTTTACACAAAAATCAACCTACATAACCTGATATATATTTAAAAATAATCTCGAAATATGAAGAAAAGTCAGTTAACTAACTAATAATGTTTATAGATGGTTTTCAACGTATTAAAAACAAACCAAATATTACAATAACTAAAATATTCATTTATTCATTCATTAATAGTTGTAGTGTTTGAAAATAGTATGATATTGATAATAATAACTACACTTAATACAAACTCAAATAATAAAAAAAAACAGCGATATTGGATATTGAACCGAACTTACAAATGATAAAATTATTGGAAAAAGTGAACACCCATTTTAAATTACTACGAGCCACTACTGCTGAGAACCCATACTTTACCATCTATTTTTGAACTAAAACAATAACTTAAGAATCATTATATCACAGAATTCAAATTATAATTGCAGTAAAACGTGTAGGGTCAATTGGGGTAAATGGAAACGGTTTTCGTAGTTTTTAAAATTCAGTTTAGTTTTTGACCCTAAATGACGTTTTCTTAATTCACAAATTGAGATATAAATAAGTTAGATCCTATACTTTAAGACTCGTATATTTCTTTTTATAAGTATAGATGTGTTTTTGGATAATATGTCAACATATATCGTGTTTACAATTACCCCAGACCTGTCGGGGTAGATGTAAACGCGTTTCTTCTTAGCTACGCATTGCATTGCTTAAAGTCATGGGGCAAATGTGAACAAATTAGTTTTTATACATTTTGCAATAAACATATGCAATTTAAAAGCATGTTTACATTTATCCCATATTATCCCAAACTAAATAAAAAATCTTTATTTTGGTTACTTCATTTCAAAATATGTAGCTACAAACAGCAATACAACTTACTTATACGTAAGACCGAGATAATTAACTAGCTCTTCTCCAAAAATTTATACAAAATACTTTCCCCTTTCATCTGAATCCCAGGATCTGGAAATATTCCTACAATCTAATCTATAGAAATGTAGCTAACATCACTTTCGTTGATAAACAGCATTATGGATGAATCCAAGGACTTTAAACCTATGATTTTTGTTTCGGCTGAATCAATACCTTCAACCACACGCAAATATATTTGAATGTGGTGGCATTTCTTTTTCCTCCTTTAAAACAAACCAACACAAATTTGACTTCAGATAGTTGCAAAATATTCTCTACCGTTTCAATGTCTAAGTACAGTGAAACCTGAGTAAGCCGGAACCTGTGTAATACGGAATCCTGTGTATGACGGAAATTTTGGCGATTACCTACATATTGTAATGTAAAAATTGCTTATAAGCCGGAACCCTGTCTAACGCGAACACGGAATTTCCCTAATCTGTTAAGCAGGAACCTACTTATGTTATTGCTTTGCAGGTATAAAAGAATTTATAGATGTTTACATAATTAGTTTATGATTTCGGAAAGCCCCATAATAAGGGCGAACTATTATCAATACTTAGAACCATTATCACAGAAATTTAGCTACAAAAGCAGTAAATACACAAATAAACCAGTATTGTGTAGGTACGGCAGTTTGAGTTTATCCGTGAAAGTGCAAACATTTCAAAATGGCAAACCGAAAAACGAATACATTATCGCTAAAATCTAAAATGGACTTAATTAAATGTAGTGACCAAAAAAAACTTACTCCAAAGCAATTGGTTATTCAATTTAAGTGCGGAAAAACGCAAGTGTATGAAATTTTGAAAAACAAGGAAAAAATTAAAGAAGAGTGGATGCGTGGTGGTAATGGCGATATTAAGAGAAAGCCAAAGGAATCACATCACGACGACGTAAATTCAACAGTTTTGGAATGGTTTATGGATGCAAGGTCTCGCAATCTTCCTGTATCTGGAACAATTATTCAAGAAAAAGCAAGAGAAATTGCAAACCATTTTGGAAAGGTAGATTTTAAAGCTTCGAATGGATGGCTGGAAAGTTTTCGAACACGACATAACATAAGATTTAATCAGATCTGCGGTGTAGCTAAGGACGTCGACATGGAATCTGTGACTGAATGGACATCGCACATTACAGATTTAATTAAAGGATATACCCTAAAAGACATTGCTAATTGTGACGAAACTGGCCTTTTTTATAGAGCGCTGCCGGACAAGACAATGTGCTTTAAAGGTGAAAAATGTCAAGGAGGCAAACAATCTAAAGAAAGGTTAATCGTTTTGTTTTGCGCCTTTGCTGACGGAAAAATAGAAAAACCTCTAGTTATTGGAAAATCCCTCAGACCGCGATGTTTTAACAATACCAATGTGCCTCAGCTACCAGTTTATTGCATGGCGAGCTAATAAAAAAGCATGGATGACATCAGTTCTTATGGAACAGTGGCTAAAAATTTTAAATCAAAAAATGAAATTTGAATATCGACACATCCTTCTATTTTTGGATAATGCAACGTGTCACCCCAAAATAATACTATCCAATATAAAATTGTGTTTTCTACCACCAAACACCACAAGTCAAACACAGCCTCTCGATCATGGAGTCATACAAAACTTCAAAATGCATTACAGAAAACAAGTGCTGCGGTCAATTATTGCGAATATTAGATTCTCTCAATCAGCAGGAGATTTGGCTAAAAAAATATCAGTTTTGGATGCTATCAGATGGATTGATTATTCAGTAAAAAATATTAAACCTGATTGTGTTAAAAAATGTTTTGCGGCATGTGGAATCAAGCAAGATGGAGACGTTGACCTAATCGAAAATGTTGACGAAATTGACGAAAGTACAAAAGAAGTCGAAGAGTTAATTACTGAAATTAATCCCGGTTGTAATGTTCATGCATGATTACATCACATTAGATGAAGCCGTTAAAACAAATGCTGGATTTCAGTCCATAGAAGAACTGGTGTTAGAAAAAACTGCCGTGGACACTTCTGTGGCAGACGATAATGATGGGATTGGAATTGGTAAGCGATTTTTCTAATTCTCTAAAAAAATAAACAACTTTTTATTTATTCTTTCCATCTTAATTGGGCATTTGGCCAAGTAGAAATAAAGTTAAAATACATAATAAAAATAAGATAGGAAGATTTCAGTTACCATCACAAAAATAACAGATAGAAAAAATTATTTTCCCATTAGCTTTTCAAAACGATCTGTTCTTAAATTATTATTTTTATCTACAGGAACAGAAGTTGAAGAATCCGATCGGATAAAAAATTTTTCTGAAGCTTTGAGGAGTGTTGCAGCGTTAGAGGATTTTTCCCAAAGAATAGAGAGCGAACCGATGAGAAAGAAGATTTTAGAATTAAGGACATTCATGGAATCATCTTACGTATTACAAAAGAATAAAAAACAACTTACATTGATAGAAATGTGGAATAAATAATAATTTATATTGTTTCTAATAATAAATAAAAATATGTAGGTACATAGTAATAATAACAACTATATATTAAATGTACGTATATTAGATTTTTTTAATAAAATCATCACTTTTTTAAATCTACTATGTGCAATTTTTTATCTACCCTGTGTAACGCGGAATCCTGTATATGCCGGAAAATCGGTGCAGGACCGTGCGATTCCGTTTTACACAGGTTTCACTGTATATCTTTGTCAAATGTTTTATTCCAGAAATCTTCATCGCTCTCGTGGAAACTTAACTTACTTTCATTATGTCAATTCTTCTTGCTGTTTTCTTGTTTTTTGGTTTGTCTCCTTATTTTTAATATTTTTTTTCGTGTTGGTTTTCTTTTTCTGCTCTGCTTCTCTTAGTCGTTTCAGCACTTCATTTGAGGTCAAAACTTCCACAGATGTATATTGTTTTAATCTGGGGATTACCAACTTTTCGTGTATATTAACAGGTTTTAAGGCCACGACTTTATGAGGGATAAAAATACTGGAAAGGGTAATAATACTTGGAGATGTTGATGGCTGAGGCTTCCTAGGAAA